TATTACATGCTGATATAAAATGCTGTTAGAGGTGACAAAATGGGTCCGGCCCGGAGGGCCGCCCACCAACTTATTTTTATAATTAAATTAAAATTTCATCATTATTCTTTTATAATTAAATTCTTAAATCTGATTTCAATCTTTGTAAATATAAATTTGTAAAATTCAAAATACTAAGTACACAAATCCTTGCAAAAAAATTATTATTTACATAAAATGTTGATAGTTAAAGGTTCCAAACTGGGCTTGACCCGAGGGCCTGCCCGCCCCGCTTGCCAACAAGTTTTTATAATGAAATTAAAATTCCACTATTATTCTTTCATAATTAAATTTATAAATTTGATTTCAAATTTTGTAAATACAAATTTGCAAAATTTCAAATACTAACGACACAAATCCTTGCAAAAAAAAATTATTTCTTATTATTTTATAAATCTAATTGTAATAAATAAAATTCATCTCTGAGATACAATATAAAAACCTAGACGCAACTATAAGAGCTTTTTTTGTGAATAAATATAAAAATCTATTACATGCTGATAGTTAGAGGTGGCAAATTGAGCCTCGACCCGGAAGACCGGCCCACCAACACACAGACCACAAAGAGTCGATTTAAAGGCAACTGTAAAAAATATAGAAGAAAACTATAAGAACAATTTTGTGTTGATAAAAATAAAAACATATTACATGCTGATTTAAAATGTTTTAGAGGTGACAAAAATGGTCCGGCCTGGAGGGCCGCCCACCAACTTATTTTTATAATTAAATTAAAATTTCATCATTATTCTTTTATAATTAAATTCTTAAATCTGATTTCAATCTTTGTAAATATAAATTTGTAAAATTCAAAATACTAAGTACACAAATCCTTGCAAAAAAATTATTATTTACATAAAATGTTGATAGTTAAAGGTTCCAAACTGGGCTTGACCCGAGGGCCTGCCCGCCCCGCTTGCCAACAAGTTTTTATAATGAAATTAAAATTCCACTATTATTCTTTCATAATTAAATTTATAAATTTGATTTCAAATTTTGTAAATACAAATTTGCAAAATTTCAAATACTAACGACACAAATCCTTGCAAAAAAATATTATTTCTTATTATTTTATAAATCTAATTGTAATAAATAAAATTCATCTCTGAGATACAATATAAAAACCTAGACGCAACTATAAGAGCTTTTTTTGTGAATAAATATAAAAATCTATTACATGCTGATAGTTAGAGGTGGCAAATTGAGCCTCGACCCGGAAGACCGGCCCACCAACACACAGACCACAAAGAGTCGATTTAAAGGCAACTGTAAAAAATATAGATATATAGTAATGTAGATGCAAACTATAAGAACAATTTTGTGTTGATAAAAATAAAAACATATTACATGCTGATATAAAATGTTGTTAGAGGTGACAAAATGGGTCCGGCCCGGAGGGCCGCCCACCAACTTATTTTTATAATTAAATTAAAATTTCATCATTATTCTTACTTAAATCTGATTTCAATCTTTGTAAATATAAATTTGTAAAATTCAAAATACTAAGTACACAAATCCTTGCAAAAAAATAATTATTTACATAAAATGTTGATAGTTAAAGGTTCCAAACTGGGCTTGACCCGAGGGCCTGCCCGCCCCGCTTGCCAACAAGTTTTTATAATGAAATTAAAATTCCACTATTATTCTTTTATAATTAAATTTATAAATTTGATTTCAATTTTTGTAAATACAAATTTGCAAAATTTCAAATACTAACGACACAAATCCTTGCAAAAAAATATTATTTCTTATTATTTTATAAATCTAATTGTAATAAATAAAATTCATCTCTGAGATACAATATAAAAACCTAGACGCAACTATAAGAGCTTTTTTTGTGAATAAATATAAAAACCTATTACATGCTGATAGATAGATGTGGCAAATTGAGCATCGACCCGGAAGACCGGACTACCAACACACAGACCACAAAGAGTCGATTTAAAGGAAACTGTAAAAAATATAGATGAAAACTATAAGAACAATTTTGTGTTGATAAAAATAAAAACATATTACATGCTGATATAAAATGCTGTAGAGGTGACAAAAAGGGTCCGGCCCGGAGGGCCGCCCACCAACTTATTTTTATAATTAAATTAAAATTTCATCATTATTCTTTTATAATTAAATTCTTAAATCTGATTTCAATCTTTGTAAATATAAATTTACAAAATTCAAAATACTAAGTACACAAATCCTTGCAAAAAAATAATTATTTACATAAAATGTTGATAGTTAAATGTTCCAAACTGGGCTTGACCCGAGGGCCTGCCCGCCCCGCTTGCCAACAAGTTTTTATAATCAAATTAAAATTCCACTATTATTCTTTCCTAATTAAATTTATAAATTTGATTTCAAATTTTGTAAATACAAATTTGCAAAATTTCAAATACTAACGACACAAATCCTTTCAAAAAAATATTATTTCTTATTATTTTATAAATCTAATTGTAATAAATAAAATTCATCTCTGAGATACAATATAAACTCCTAGACGCAACTATAAGAGCTTTTTTTGTGAATAAATATAAAAATCTATTACATGCTGATAGTTAGAGGTGGCAAATTGAGCCTCGACCCGGAAGACCGGCCCACCAACACACAGACCACAAAGAGTCGATTTAAAGGCAACTGTAAAAAATATAGATATATAGTAATGTAGATGCAAACTATAAGAACAATTTTGTGTTGATAAAAATAAAAACATATTACATGCTGATATAAAATGTTGTTAGAGGTGACAAAATGGGTCCGGCCCGGAGGGCCGCCCACCTAACTTATTTTTATAATTAAATTAAAATTTCAATTATTCTTTTATAATTAAATTCTTAAATCTGATTTCAATCTTTGTAAATATAAATTTACAAAATTCAAAATACTAAGTACACAAATCCTTGCAAAAAAATAATTATTTACATAAAATGTTGATAGTTAAAGGTTCCAAACTGGGCTTGACCCGAGGGCCTGCCCGCCCCGCTTGCCAACAAGTTTTTATAATGAAATTAAAATTCCACTATTATTCTTTCATAATTAAATTTATAAATTTGATTTCAAATTTTGTAAATACAAATTTGCAAAATTTCAAATACTAACGACACAAATCCTTTCAAAAAAATATTATTTCTTATTATTTTATAAATCTAATTGTAGTAAACAAAATTCATCTCTGAGATACAATATAAAAACCTAGACGCAACTATAAGAGCTTTTTTGTGAATAAATATAAAAATCTATTACATGCTGAAAGTTAGAGGTGGCAAATTGAGCCTCGACCCGGAAGACCGGCCCACCAACACACAGACCACAAAGAGTCGATTTAAAGGCAACTGTAAAAAATATAGATATATAGTAATGTAGATGCAAACTATAAGAACAATTTTGTGTTGATAAAAATAAAAACATATTACATGCTGATATAAAATGTTGTTAGAGGTGACAAAATGGGTCCGGCCCGGAGGGCCGCCCACCAACTTATTTTTATAATTAAATTAAAATTTCAATTATTCTTTTATAATTAAATTCTTAAATCTGATTTCAATCTTTGTAAATATAAATTTACAAAATTCAAAATACTAAGTACACAAATCCTTGCAAAAAAAATATTATTTACATAAAATGTTGATAGTTAAAGGTTCCAAACTGGGCTTGACCCGAGGGCCTGCCCGCCCCGCTTGCCAACAAGTTTTTATAATGAAATTAAAGTTCCACTATTATTCTTTCCTAATTAAATTTATAAATTTGATTTCAATTTTTGTAAATACAAATTTGCAAAATTTCAAATACTAACGACAAATAAATAATTTAAAAATTATTTCTTATTATTTTGTAAATCTAATTGTAATAAATAAAATTCATCTCTGAGATACAATATAAAAACCTAGACGCAACTATAAGAGCTTTTTTTGTGAATAAATATAAAAATCTATTACATGCTGATAGTTAGAGGTGGCAAACTGGACTCTGCATGTTTATCCACTAACTTATTTTTATAATTAAATTAAAACTTCATACTTCTTCTTTTATAATTAAATTCTTAAATCTGATTTCAATTTTTGTAAATAAAAATTTATAAAATTGAAACTACTATGGACATAAATCCTTGCAAAAAAAAAAAATAATTTATTATTATTTTATAAATCTGATTGTAGTAAATGAATGTTTATCTCTGAGATAAAATATAAAAACTTAGATGCAACTATAAGATTTTTTTATGTGGATAAACATAAAAACATATTACATGCTGGTATATAATGCTGACAATTAGAGGTTGCAAACTAGACTCGGTCCGGAGGACCAGCCCTATTAAATTTTTGCCCTTCTTCTTTTATAATTAAATTTCTAATTCTGATTTTAATTTTTTTAAATATGAATTTGAAAAATTTCAAATACTAACGACACAAATCTTTGCAAAGAAATATTTATGTATTATTATTTTTTAAATTTGATCTTTCTAAATGAAAGTTCATCATTGGGAAATACTGAAAGAAGCTAAGTCAAACTTTATAATTTTTGAATGACCATATGACAAGGTAAAATGCAGCAATATACTTTTATGTGTTGAGTTAATTTTCACGTGACAAAAAAACTGATTTTTTTTCTCCGTGCAACGCACGGGTAATACAGTAGTTAATATTCTAATCTAATTGTCTTTTAAAACGATAGACAAAGATAAGCAAAAAAAATGATAAATAAAATACTTTATCGTAATAAAATAAATAATAAACAAAAGAGGCTGGCGAATCATCCCGTGACAGGTTGGCTTGGTGGAATGGGCTTAAGAGATTGACGAGTTGAAAAACTCAACGCGTCCCGTTTGGCGGACAGGCACCATGCCACCTCTAATAATAATATTACTTTTGAGCTGATTTAAACAAGTGGTGGACGCGTGTCAAATTTAAAGCAGCCGTGGCGTGACACGGATAAACGAATACTATCACAGTGTGTCAGTGTGTGTAACGCGTCAAAACAAAGCTTGCCTTAGTTGCAAAGTAAGAAACCGAATGAGAGGAACTTCTTCTTCGATTCCGATTGCATCGTTTTCCCTATTCTTGTTCTTCTTTCTCTTCGCCCTCTTCTCTGTTCAAGGATCGTTGGGAGACTGTTCTGAATACCAACACGCGTCAATGGCCACGCTCGGAGGTCTGCGCGATTCCCAAGCTTCTCAGAACAGCGCCGAAACCGAAGCTCTCGCTCGATTCGCTGTCGACGAGCACAACAAGAAACAGGTTCCTTAATCCTTCTTCTTTCTTTTCTTTTCTTGTCTTTCTTTATGTATTTCTTTCAAAAAAGAAAAACATATTTTTAAATTATTTATTTTGTGTCCTTTTGGAAGGTTTACTTACTTGATTCCATAATTATGTGTTTATAATATACTAAGACTTGGTTTTTCTGTGTAACTAACTATGAATGAAGGTTAGAAATGAAGGAAGTAACTAGGAATCTTCATGCTTATGTTATAGTATGTGTTAGTGAAGCTGAAGTTGGTTTTAAATTCCAAATCCTTGTTTCTATTGGAATTGGTCACTCCGTGTTAGTGTATGCCCTTAGTAGTAAACATTATTTTACTATTACAATTTATTGAAAATTTATGACAAATGAATATGCTAAATCTAAGAACATATGTTTGATTCATAAGTGGTCCTATCTTGCTAGGGGTGTGCACTATTTGGTTCTGTTCGGACGAACTGAACTAGAAAAGTGGTTCAGTTTGGGCTAACCAAACCGGTTTTGAAAAGCGGTTTCATTCTTGAACCGGTTTGAAGAAAATGGTTTGGTTCTTAAATCAGTTTGGAGAAATGTGGTGCAGTTCGGTTTGCTTGCAGTTCATTTCATTTTATTTTTTTACACTTTTAAAAATGGGTATGGTTCGGTTTTTAGTCAGAATCAAACCGAATTGGTAAAATGATTTGGTTGATGAACTAAACTAGTTTTGAAAAAAGAATTTGATTCTTGTAATGGTTTGAATAAAATGGTTCAGTTCTTGAACCTGTTCAAAAAAATATAGTTCTTTTGGTGTGGTTTGAATTAGTTTACTTATCAGCTCAATTTATTTGGTTCTTTTGCAAACCCCTAATGCTTGCTCTAATGTGCTTACCTGTTAATTGGATTGCTGAGCTTTCTTGTTAGTGTTTTACATTTTTTTCAATGTGACTGCATTAGTGTTTTCTTCTTCTCTCTCCTGTCCTGTCTTATGTTCAATACGGTTTTGAATGATATTTTATGTGAACGAAAAGTGTTGATTCATGTTGAAATGAATTGTATTTTAAGAATGGCCTTCTGGAGTTCGCAAGGGTGGTGAAGGCACAGGAACAGGTAGTTGCTGGTACGATGTATCATCTTACTCTTGAGGCTATTGATGCGGGTGAGAAGAAGATCTATGAAGCCAAGATTTGGGTGAAACCCTGGATGAACTTCAAAGAACTCCATGACTTCAAGCTTGCCGGTCATGCACCATCGGTCACCTCTGCAGATCTTGGTGTCAAAACAGGTTTGGCATTTTCTAAATCGACCATCTTTGGCCTTGATATAAATAACAAACTAGCAATCTAATAGGGGTATTTAGTATGTCTTTTTTTAATTCAAAAATTGGTACTGTACTAACAGTATATCTGTCATGCTATGGTTTCTATATTGTTTTTATGTGGAACATATGAAGTTTGTCTTTTCTTCCTACAATATTCATAAGTGGCATACATCAAGCAAGATTTATCTATACCTTACCGTGACTATTTTACATCTTGAGAGGGTTGGTAATTGATAATAACTAATAGGAATAAATGTTCAGTGCATTTGAATGATTAGAAGGCTTTCAAAAGGCCAAAACCAATCTGCATCTTTAGAAATGCTGCTTTTTGATGGACTTTGAGTTTGTGTTATTAGTTTTGGTCACTCAAAGTGAGGTGAGGACCAATTAATTGAAGATGAAGTGTTGTCATTGAATTGAATCTAAATGAGTTGAACAACCCATAAAGATGGGAAAGGTGAAAAATTGGATGGTTTCATGTTTTATAGGAATATAAGATTTTCATATTTAGTGCAACATCAGGATTTGAATACATTTGAGTTTTCTTTATCGTGGGATTTGCATGCGCTGCTATTTATCCATTAGCGATTTTGTTGGTACCCAGTAAATTAGTCTCAATTAACACCAAAATACTGCTATTAATTCAAATATGTTTGGGAGTTAAATTCCCTTACAGTAATGACAGCAACAAGAACAAACCAACTACAGACTCAACAACTTGAATACAAACCCAACAGTAAATGATGACAGCAATTTCAATGCAGAAAATTACAAGACTCTTAATAGCTAATGACAGACTCCATGACTCTACACTACTGATTATCCACCTTCAATTGGAAAAGACACCAAATACCAGTCACTGAACACCATGTCCAGCCGCTACCCTCCCTCCAACAATGTGAATATTCCCCCCCTCCACACTCTCTCTTTCCCTCCACTTATATCACCTTGGCCCCATCTGAATTCCCTTCACACACACTCCCCATTTCCCCTTCAACATTTATTGCTTGCCACGTGGCCTCACTCATAACAAACTGCCCTTCCTCATTCGCCTTTACTACAGTTGGTTATTATCCATATTTTGGGCCTTCCTTTTCCTCACATAAGTTCTTTCAAATGGTTGTAAGGGCCCATCAGATTTCCACCAAAAATCTATAGTCTCCTTTAGGTGTGAGCTGTATAAACCACCTTGGATAATGGTGCTTTCAGTATGTTGGTGTATAGTTTCAGCTATGTTGGAAGTACATAGGACAATGTAGCTCATTATAATCATGTGTCATTTGCCTTTCTTGTGGTTGCTTCCCCTCTTCTCTTGTAGAACATTTGTACTCCAAGTGTTTGTTAATACCATCTGCTGCTGTTCTTTTTTCGTTATCAGATGGCCACAAGCCAGGATGGCAATCTGTGCCAACACATGATCCTCAAGTTCAGGATGCAGCGAGTCATGCTATCAAGTCAATGCAGCAGAGGTCTAATTCACTACTACCATATGAACTTCATGAGGTTGTTGATGCAAAGGCTGAGGTCAGTGCCTTATTCTGTATTCTTTGAAATTTACTTGGTCCAGTTTGTTCGCTCAACTGGTTTTGGAATTTCACATGGTTGAGTTGAGTTGAACTGTTGGTTGTAATTTGATGTTTAAATTTGCTGTGCTAGAAAAATTGTGCAGATTAATTCTTTCTCATAAAATTTGATGAACTGTCTTGAGTTATGGGAGAAATTGTGACTGTTCTTGTTCCTGTAATCTCATTGTTTTTTTCTCCGACCTGATTTCTTTACCTGCATTTTTTTTTATCAAAAACCTTTATGTAAAATATTTGTCATATAATGAATTTGGCATCATGCTAAGAGCTGTTTGTAATATATTTTGGATGCTGCTTTTGCCATAATTATAAATTTCTAAGACCAGAAGAACACTGATTATTAGTTAGTCAGTCAAATGCGACTTTAGTGGTATTTATGTGGTTTATATTTTGAAATGTTTATATGTTGAATTTATTGAATAATAATGCCTTCTCAATTTTTTCAACTCTAGTAATATTTAATTTTGTGTTTAATACAGTTTTTACATAATTTTTTTTTTATTACTTCTATACTTGGTCTATGTTATTTACATAGAGACAATGCATATGGATAAGGTTCGATCATACTCATGTAGATTCCATTAAGTGTGTCCGTTTCCTTCAAAACCTATTTTAAGCATTATGACTTCCAAGTGGTTGTTCTTCTCTTTCCTAAGGACAGAAGACAATCTTTGTTACATATTTAAATATTCATTAGGTTTCTTCCCTTCTCAAATTCTCATTACTATTTGTGAGAGATCTGTGGGTATATCAGTGAGCGACGGGCTAACAATGTGTTCTTGCTGTTAGGTTAGGGCTCCCAAACATATGTAATTTAGTGATTAAAACCTTATCTAAGAAAATCTGCATTTGGGCCACTGGATTGCTTACAAGCTTCTTTTATGATGGTTGAGGCTCATCACTAGGGTAGTTACTGGTGTATCATGGCTGATGGGTGTCTAAATTGCTATGCAGGTGATAGATGATTCTGCCAAGTTTGATATGCTCCTCAAGGTCAAGAGGGGTGACAAGGAAGAGAAGTTCAAGGTAGAAGTACACAAGAATAACGAAGGCAAGTTCCATCTAAATCAGATGCAACCAGACCATTCCTAATCGTCGTCTGAAGCTTGGATACATTAGCAATATAGGCCTGGATGGCCCTTAAATTTGCACTTTTTCTTGATATATGTGATGTATGACTCGCACACAATTTACTTCTCGGATATTGCTCTTATTGTCTATGTCTAAACAAGTATATAAGTGCTTACGGCTTACCCCAGCCTTGGGAACTAATTCTTGTTTTGCAGAGTATATGGTTTCATTTAACTATCGTAACTGTGGTTATTGACCCTTTTTTTAAACATATGCCTAACCTTTTTTTTCTTTTTTTTGAATACATAACATATGCCTAGCTAATTCGAACAAAATTTTAAGTTGAATTTAATATGAGGAAGTTTTTGGATTTTTAAATTCTGGACCCATTCATAGTTAACAATATGATGGGGTTATTATTATTTTTTTTTTTACTTGCTAGTAAGAGTGATGAAGGTGGATCATATACTTCAGTCCAATAAAAAACTAAAAAATAAGTAGAGAAATTGAAAGGAAAATTCAAGTCAGTGTCAAAACTGGACTATATATTGTTGCTAACGAGTAACAACACTAAAAGAACTAGTAAATGAAATGATAAATTTTAACTAACTAGTATTAATTTGTTCAGCTTTAGACAGAAAAAAGGAAGTTAAATGATCTAATATGCTATTAATCACGGTGTTTCATTTTGCATTATTTGGAGTTTTTAAGCCGAAAGCTCTTTCTACAACATTTTTTTTTTATCTAGTTAAGGAGAAAACCTATCATTGATGGCCTGGCACGAGATTTCAAGGGAACATGGTCCACATGTGGGAGCAAAGAAGACCCATTTTGCAATATTCTAATTATATAGAAGTTAATTAAAGCATGTACTTGGTTAGTCATGCCACCAAGGAGCCTTAGCTATTCTAGATTTCTAGCCATGGAAGAGGACCTGAACTTAGTGTATCATCTATTAAAAAAAAAAATATTTAATTATATTTAATGTCACACTAGTCTCATTTATTTTCAATTCTAATTAGATTAGTAGAGAAGATTCAATCTGTTGCATCTCATGCACATTTTCTGTGGGATCATTCCTTGCTCCATCAAAGCAACGCCTCCTTTTCAATTGCCATCCAATGTTCAAAGATGCTCCTCATTTATTGGTTCAAACGAATCAGTGAGCCAAAAAGTGAAGTCCTTGGGGTAAGGTGCAATGAAGAGGTTGCACACCAGTTAAACATGAAACAAAGGAAAAAGAAAAGAAAGAAACTCTTGCACTATACCCCAATCAGCCTCTTATAATTATCATTTTACTTACAATAAAGAACATTTTGACGTCAACGCAGAATTTAAGATGTCGAAACTCGAAAACTCACTTAAATAATATGTTAGTGTCAATGATTGCTTCACCTAGCTTGCTTGCGTCCAAATAACTTACTATCCACCTTTCACAAGACGAGGCAGTTTCAGCCTGCCATGTTCTATACGTGCAAATTTTCTCCAAATGATTTGACACATTTGTTAATCAATAAAAAGATATGAGAACTAGTGTTTAGTTTCCATCTTTGGAAGGGATTAACAATCTGCAGAAAACATTGTTTTCAGCTGTGACTGGAACAAACAAATAGTAATCTAGTTATTTGCAGTAATACTAAATTGGACTTGGATGCATAAAATTCACTCTATGGAATTGTGATATACATTGTAGGCCTAAAGGTAGGTACACAAAGCTAACATTACTGGCTAAGAGAAAGATACATCAGCTACGCAAGAAACATGTGCTGACATAGACAAACAAGATTAAAAGGGCATTCAGATATTTTTTCAGCCAACAACAGCATGGAACATATTTTGACAGCTAGTGAATCATACTCATAATAATCATACCACTAGTATGTACTTATTCTACAGTTATCATGAGCTTTTCACTAATCTAACATCCTGCCAAAGACTATATTATTTATCCTTCCTCATCATAATCTTCCTCATCCTCTTCTCGCCTGCTGAGGTGAGCTAGCTGCATCGTGTCAATGGCCATCTTGTCCACATCAGAAAGGGGCCACCCCAGAATCGGAATTTCTTCATTCTTGCTCTCTGTTGGAGGTTCAGACAATGAAGCATTATCTACTGAGCTAGCCTTTTTATCCTCATTTTCGTTCATATTGGCATTCAGATCAATATTAGGGAGTGAGTCAGAGCTTTCAACAGGAATTGCAATATTTTCCTTTGATAATTCCTTTGACTCTGTACTATTATGTATTGCCACATTTGTATGTGCATTATGTTGGCTGCCATGTGGAACAGAAGTGCAAGGCTCAGATTCAGCTTCTTGATGATATGTCTCTCTTACTACAGTTCGAGAACCTCGACCACGGCCTCTTCCTCTACCTCGGCCTCTTCCCCTACCGGTACTACCAGTGTGGCTCAACTCATGCTGGAATAAAAGAAAAACATTATTGACCTAAACAAGATATAGAATATTCCTAGATTAAGGGACTGCTAGGCATGCAGACATTCTTCAAATAGGACATACTATTGATTCCTGCAAAACTTCAGGATTATCTTGTGTTATACATGATAAAAAAAGTATGATAAAAACTAGAGTTATTGAACAGCGACCAAGATTGTGTTTCCTGCCCAACCTTAGGGTGCCAAACATGGTAACATATAAGAATGAGGTAGACGTGCGCATGTGGAAGTTTATAGGTTTGGGTCAAGAAAATAATACACAACCTTGTGAAGAAAATACATTTTTATGCAATAATATTAGGAAATTCCTTTTTCCCTTAGTTAGACACAAGTGGACATCTATGTTACTGACATGAGGCATTTTCTGGAAAATAAACTTCCTCTAAGAGACACGGCATGATTGGTGCTGACCTAATGGTGCTGAACACTGCTTAAGAAACTAAAACTCAGAATTATAAGCAGAAGGAAAACAAAACTTGACCATGATCATCAATACAAAACTCATGCAAATATAAGGAAAAGTGTAATTACCATCTTGCTCCTCTTAGCCTCCTCATCACTGTCATTAAAATCATCACCAGCAGCTTTCCTGGAAAAGAATATAGCATTTAAAGTGCATTTCTAACTATATCAGAAGGGTAAAAAAAACAAAGACATTGCACTTCAAACCTTCTTTTTGGAATAGCCCGATCATCAGCACCAGCCTCATTATGGCCATGGCCATGGCTGTAGTCAGGAACCCTGCTGACAACGTCCCTCAGAAAGTCAAAGACATTATAGCTTTGTACACAATGTTTTCTGCAATTTTAATTTTCCACTTGTTAGAACTCACTTCAGAGACTGTACTACCTATTAAAGATAAAAATAAGTTCGGAAGGAAGGCGAGAAACACGAGAAACAGAATGATAGCATAATCAAACAGGATCTCAATACTACATAGTTAAAATAATCAGCTTAGGAAGAGATGTCTGAGAGCAGAAATTACAACTGCTAGGGGTTGTTAAAGGCTGTTCCCCAGTGCCATCAATTCCTTAGAGTTACAGGTTAACAAGGTGAATCCTCTCTAAAATATAGCACACAATTCATGAGTATGGAAGCTGTGCATATTTCATCAATGTCAAGAACAACTTATATTTGAAATCTTAACAAGTGAAAAATCCTATTTAAAAGGCAACCAGATATGCTGTTCAGATGGAGGAAGAGCCTTCGTTGAACTTAGGAGCTAAACAAAAGGCAAGATTAAACATTCTCCATTTTTTAAAAGTTTCCTCAATGCTTCAACAACCAATAAATTTTTTTATTCATTTACAGTCAAATGCAATCAAGAAAGAATTCAAAGAAGTGCAGCAATTTTCGAACTCAAACAGCTTGGCTATTGATCTGATTCTCTTTCTCAATATCTAAGTTCTTGAGTTAGTTCTAATTCACTAAAATGAGAGATTGAAGAAAAGTAACACATAACATAACAGACTTACAAATGCAATGAATTCATGGTCTTTGCTCCTCTTTGAAGAGTTATTTCATAAGTGCGGTCACAAAGATCTTGCAAAAATAGCTCTAGAGCTTTAGCTGTAATCCATTCAAGAGTAATGTCAGCAACATATACAAAAGAAACGAACAAGAAGCGGCCTAAAGTTCATAACACAGTAAGTTAAAGCAACTCACAAACTAAAACAGGCACGGCCAGTGCTATCTTTCCAACATCCTCGTCTGCTTGCATTATCTTCTTTATCCGAGCCTGCAAATTAATGTTTTCATCACATCAAATAAAGTGATCTTTTACAAGAGTTCACTCCTTATACTATAAGTAGAAGAATTCAACAGAGTCTAGACTACAAATTAACACCCCTGTGAACATAGTATAATTTCAACTAAATTACATTACATAGAATCAGTCTCTCTCCCTGAATCCTTACCTCCCTCTTTTTGCTCTCTCGACATAAGGAAAAATCATTATTCTGTCTCTCAGCAATCTAATAAAGAACGACAGAATTACCTTTCTGATTAATTAAACAAAGGCTTGTCAACAGCAATAGCGCTGATATTGCGGCATCGCGGCCGGAGGCCACTACATGATCTGCATGGTGAAACATTTTTGCTTTGTGCCCATTGCACCTACAATCGCGCCCAATTTCATGGAGATTTGTTCCGGTCGCAGCCGCTACTGTGAACCAGGTTAAAACCCCTTATTACCCCAATGTTTAATGTGTTTTCTGACCATTATAGGGTTCAAAACCCTTGCCCCCCAAACCCACTGCTCGCCAGTGTTGTTTTCAGCCAAGTCCTAAATTTTCTGGCACACCCATTGATCTGTTCTTTTCATGTATTTTGTTCAGTGTTCACATACATCCTCTTCAGTTTTCACACACGCTCTCCATTACTGGCATATAGAAAGAGTGGACAGTTTTGTTTCATATTATTTTTGTTATCTCTCTAGTGCTTCCTTTCTTTCTACTTTCTCTGTTTCGAGAATATCTTATCCTCCCCCATATTTTATGTTCTTTCACTTAAAAAGGGCAAACCTTAGTGCACAAAGCTCTCGACTTTGCAAGGGCAGGGATGCAAATCAGTTATACACAGTCTTACCCTTACATATTTACAACGAAAATGTTTTCTAAACTTGAAACCTTGACCTTTTTCCGGTCACAAAAGAACAAACTTACCACTGCTCCAAGGCTCACCCTCATTGTCCGTCCTTTCAGTTATTCTCCAAAAAAAGAAGAACGATGATTCAAGGATTTTAACAGAATTAAGCTTAACTTACGAAAAGGATTTCAGATAAGATATAGTTTAACAAATATACTGAATTGACGAATTTAACATAGGCTGGTTCATTTGCCATGTCTACAATGGAAAGTAGGAGAATCACCATCTAAAACCAGAAAACATGCAGTCTCCAGAGATGCACCAAAGAATAATTTTAATACCAAATTAATACCCACATCACTACAGACTCATCTACTTCAATTCTCAAGCACCATAAAGCTAAACAAAATAAAATCCCAGAAATTATAGTAAACTATTTTATACCCATTTTTTTTATTTCACTTTCTACCGGTTTCTGAGCATCCAAACAGCACAAAACTACCAAAAGATCAAAACTTTACAAAGGGAAAACGAAAATACTCACGGCAGGGAAACGGGTATCAAGCTTCTTCCTCATGGTAACAGATTTTGGAGTATCAAATGAAGCAAAAGAACGAGACCCAGAAAGTGAAATCGAAGGCTTTGAACAAAAACACTGCACCGATCGTCAACAAGATGAAGTCAACGCAATTCATATCAGATCCGAAGGCCACTACGCTTTGAACAAAAACACTGCACCGATCGTCAACAAAACGAAAGCAATGCAACTCATTTCAGATCCAAAGGGGATACAGTGCCAGCTTTGTTAAAGTAGCCGGTCGGTCACGGAAAATGTGGAACGGCCCAATAGTTGTAGAGCATCTAGGCAAAGAAGGAGTCAAAATGATGACGTGTTAACGATATAATTGGGATATTATTTTGTTTCTTGTGAAATTCCCAAAGCCCAAAAAACTATTCTCTTAGGAAGCGCGAGCCATTCTTTTCGGCTTTTTTATCCTTTCGCTGCTAATTAAATTAAAAATTATTACTTTGTCGAACTATATGTTTATCTTTAATCGTTGACTAGACGATATAATTAATATATAATCGATTATATTACGATTGACTGATATAATTGATTACATTAGTAAATGATAATCAATTACATTAATGAACGAAGCCATATAAAAAAATTTCACGAAATTTTTGGAGAAACGAGTTTTTATAAAGGGAAGAATGTTTTTGCAGTTAATGCAGATAACTTATCTGCATTTATTTTCAAAACGACGTCATTTTGGTATTGAAATCTTAAAAAGTTATAAATATAAAGATTATTATAACCCTGAAATAAATTAAAATTACAAAAACACCATGATTTTCGCCCAAAATGACGTCGTATTGGGCTTACTGCAGATAAGTTATCCACAGTAACTGCAGAAAAAGCAAACCCTTTTATAAATTATAATCATATACTTTTAATATTGAACTTAAGGAGGGGCTTTTAAGGAGGGGTTTTGTGGTATCATCAAATTTATTGTGGCACTAAGTTTGAGATATTTTATCGTAAAATTTTCAAAAATCATAACTTTGGCTTCGAGTGCCCGAATTCGAAGGGAACTTGATCAATTTTTTCTCTCCAAAAAACCTTTACATGTGTCCCGTTTGAAATATTTTATTTCCGTGGATGATGTTATTTAATTCTTATTTTTTTTTGGTATCCTATTTAATTCCTATTCTTAATTTCACTTTCTAATACTAAAAAATAATCATTCCAACATGTAGATAGCAAAAAATTACATGGAATAAAAAAAACTGAGTTGGATCTTCGAGTCAAAAGTTACGGTTTTCCAAAATTTTAGGATAAATTTGAGCCATGTAATCGATTACATGTCTCAAATAACCGATTACATTAATCAGTCAATGGTCAAATAAGAGCAAATTGTATTAAATTTTAGTAAAAGGTCAAAATTTTTAAGCAGCATAAATAAAGTTAGGAGGCATTTGGTAAAGGAAAAAAAAAATTTACCATAAAAATCCTTTTACTAGTAATATAGTTCGAAAATGAGTTTGATAGGAAAGTTAAAAAAAAAAAATTGTTTGCTAGACTGAAATATTACCGAAAAAATTGATGTAAATTTCCAAAGTCTATGTTTAGCGGAAGATAATATATTGATGGGATAATGAGGGTAAATTACCAAAATGGGCATTTTAAATTTTAAATCTGAAAAGTCTATGCTACGGATGTATTTTCAGATCTGTTGAGGATTCTTTCTCTGTTTTAACTGGTCAATAAGCTGAACGTGCAGTTGATTAATCACCTGTTACAAACGGGTACTGATAATTCTTTATTAGAAGACTTATTCGCTGCTAATTATACTTCATTTCTAGTTTGTTTTGAGTTAAAGTGGGTTGTGATACTTATGTTTTGTTTTTATTTCAGAACTTTGAAAGCCCAAAAAGGTGAAGCCCAAAAGAAGTCAAATTAGAGAGCATGACAAAGGAAATTCAACCCACATCAGTAACTAAGCAAATAAGGCAGCAAGTCACGTTCCCAATTTCATTGTTCTGCCCTTCTTTAAACCATATCAATCATCATTCTCTCAACTTCAGATCACCAAATCCACCCATTACATCAAGCCATAACCACTCCTGACCTCAAATTTCATTGAACCCATGAGCCACCAAACCATATTTCATATTGTTTTCTTTCACCATATCATTTTCCTAACCCGTGACTTAACCCAAATCATGTGAGAAGGAACCAAGGTCTTAGCTGTCATTTTTGGTGAAGTTGTTACATGGAGTGGATGTGCAAACAGATTTTGGGTGAAAAAATCGTGGAGGTGATTGTGCAAAAATGGGTCACACGATTTTTGCAAGAGGAGCGCGTGTGGATGCTGACGAACGACCCAAAGCCCATGCGTGTGTAGAAGGCGCACTATAAATGGAGAAATTAGCACCATGCAAAAGTGTCCTTGGTCTTCTTTCTGGTCTTCTTCTTTTCTTTTCTTTCTGCAATTGCTGAGTAGTTTTTAATTTTGTTTCTGAGTACTGTAGCAGAGCTATTCCTTTGGTTGTAGCTTCTACATTGTTGATTTTTATTTTTTTGTTGTAATTTTTTGTTGTTGTTCTTTTTGCTGTTTTGAGCTCCATTCTTATGGATAGGAGCTAAACCTTTGAAGGTTGGGTCTAGGTTACCCGAACCTCAGTGTTGACCGATTGTGATTACTGTTGCTTAATTTCAATTTTCAGTTGTTTAATGCCATGCTTGTTATTTAAACATTTTGCATTGAGGCCTGATGTTAAATGTTGTATTAGGAAGAAGTCATCGAGAGGTGACTAATTCTGGAAAATGCATTAAGCACATGGACTTGAATGAGAGATCATTTAAGGGCTGTCACTTAGAGATGAGGGCAGCCACCATGTAACTTTGGACTTGAAATACAAGAGTCCTCACTTCATTTAGCACAGGGATGTGTGAATGAAAGTTGTGGATAAAATGGTTTTAAGGTATTAAGATCAACAAGAGTGATCCGTTAACTGAGAATTTGAATTGAGCAATTTGTAATTAGCATTCCTTTCAAGGCTGTGAGAAGGGTAAACCGAAGCCCAATCCATTTTCCTAAACTTTTTCATCAACTCATTTTTCCTTTGATTTAGAATTTTTAATCATCATTCAGTTTTACATTTTTTATATAAAAAAAAATTTACATAAAAAATGAACAAAACAGTAGTTAAATTGATTTCCTAGTATTTTTCATCCTTTAGAACAATTGATTCAAGAAATTAATTCATAAAAGTCTAAAAAAAAGGGGTGTAGTCAGTGCTATTTCAGAGCAGGTTTGTGTTGTTATTTTTATTGGTACTCTCTTTTTATTAATTCAGTCTTAAGCAATCGCACTTTGTGTTTTTGAAATTTTTGCCAAAAGATCCTTGTAGGATCGATAACTGGGGACTCAAACAAGTCCTATATTACTTGTTGTCGCGTATACTTGCGCGCATACTTGCATAACTGTTAGCAAGACAACATGCACCATTAGTCACATTTGTATTTGAATCTTTATACTTGAATATGCAGTAAGTAGGTAATAAGAACTTTTAATGTATTGGTCATGTCACATATGATACCAAAGGTGAAATAATGGATGATCGTTCACAGATCTCGGATTTCCCATACGTACTTCCAATGTGGTAATGCAATTATAACATTCATTGGCAGAGATTCATTGCAACTAGTATCATTACAACCAGATATATACATGTTGAGTTGTGGCCTACTGCGTTATACATGTGTGCGTTTAGGGTCTGGAAATCTACTCAATTTTTTGGTTGAAAATGTGTATGCTGTAGTAGATGTGCTGGAATCACTCAGACCATGTCATAATCTATTCAAAAGTTGACCTTCATTACATTGATTATCAACATTATGAGAGGTAGAGAGTTCAGATAAACGTGAAAAAAAAAATACAATACATTTTCATCCATTTTAATAACATAAACAGCCCCAGATAATGTTCAATGTCATCTGAATATTGCTTAACGGCTGTTAGCAAACTACAACCACCGATAAAGAAATATAGCATTCCATGTCCTCCTCGGGATTGTATTGAGTTCTGTTCTTTGTAATAGATGCAACGAAGATGCCAACACAACTCTTGTTGAGATATATAGTCCCACATTGATTGGGCAACTAATATGGGATTATATATCTCAACATGAAGTTTTTTGTTAGAAAATAAAATATCATCAAGTGTATCAAAATAAAAGAAAATGTTATCAATATATTCGCATATATACTACGATTTTGCTCAAACACGAAGGAAATTCGACAATATGCTTAGGGCTTTGGATATTGATGAAGAAAAGTAAAAACAAAATAATCTCCATTAATTATTATAAGAAAAATCAAGGGTGTGATAAGGCTAATCAAGAATGGCATAGGTTAACTGCAAGTTGAGTGCAAGAAAATAATTAAGTGCCCCGGTTCAGTGCCCAGCTCCGAAAATAATTGTCTGCAAATCTACGCTGTTATTTGCAATGTCAAGTGCTTTCTTGATAGTGTTTTACAAGCTCAATGTCAGCTTAAGATAGCCGCTTACCAAGCACAAATTGATTAGACTTTCCTTAGCAAAGGATCTGTTGAAATTGTTGAGTTAATTTTATATGGTAGGCCATTAATTTCAACCATGTTAGGTGTAATGATCCAAAATTATTTTAGAAAAAAAAAATATGGAATCGCCATGTGTAATGTCCCAAAATTATTTAAAAAAAAAAAATGAAATCGCCACCAATTTTATTTAATTTGAAATTTTTTAAAAAACCTTTTATTTTAACAAATCAGGTCTTTGATTCAAGGTTTCAGAGTCTAATAACATAAACTACCTCTCCACAAACCTCTTTTTTCTTACTAACTCTTACTGTTAAATCTTAATCGTTGATTTTCGTCAATCTAACGGTTGTAATTTATGGGGTCATATTTATTAATTAATTATTAATTTCCAATAAATTATAACCGTTAGATTGATAAAAATTAACGGTTAAAATTGATAGTAAGAGGTAGTCAGAAAAATAGATAGTAAGTATAATTTTTTCCCTAATTATGTATAGGAAAAAAATTTCATTTGAAAAATGTTACTTAAATTAATTGTGCAAATTTTTAATAATTTTAAAAAATATTTGCTTAACCTGAATAAAATAAGATGAAATATTCACAAAAGTAAAATTAGATTATAAAAAAAAAAATTGAGCTTGACAAAAAAAATTCACTCTGACATATCATCTGGTGCGAAGAGAAACTTAAAGCTACGTCGTTCATAAGAA